TGCGGGTACCTGTGGGTCCTTGTAGGTGCATTGACTGCACAGGCAAGTATGTGTAAGCCCCTTGCCACGAGTACACCAGAAACATACACCGCCGACCAGGCAAGGTCCCAAAATACAGCTTTTTAGAGGGAAGATGCACTTCTGGCAGAGGATCAGAGAGCTGGAACTAGGCAAGACAAAGGCTCACAGGTTGTACTGCAGCTGGACATCTGGTGCTGTCTTCTCTGGTGCTGCAGCTGCTAAATGGCATGAGGAGAAGTTTTTTAAAACTCCTTGAAGCTGTTAGCGTTTTGCTGGCAGGCTCAGGGTTAGTCTGATCCCACTTTCTGGGACAGGCAAGGGTCTTCTTCCAAGGCAAGGTTTGCTGGGGTTCATTTCCCTTTCCCTGTAACAGGGGCACAACTCATTTCCATGGGTGGTTTGGGCACATCTGGCAGATTTCTTCCTGTTGTAGGAATGCAGGACTTTGCTAACAGTCTCATCTACTCTCTTCCCACCAGAACTTTACAGTTGTGAGTTTTTTTTAAATCTCAGATCTTTTGCTCACATAAAGTGCTACGAGGTGTTTTGTGGCCTGCAATGCACAGGGAGATGTGGAAGAGGATCTGTAGGTCCTCCTGGACTCAACATTTATTTACTCCTCCTGGACTCAACATTTATTTACTAAGTAAGCTGAACCCCTTCCCAGTCGATGGTCCCTTATTCTTAACAACAGTTTTTGGTATGTGCAGCTGCCGGAGCTGCCCCAGGAGCTCTCTGCTGCTGCAAGCAGCAATGGAAATGCTCTGAACCAGGGATGGGAAAAGAAAACACTTGCTCTTAGTTGCTGCCTTAGATACTGACACAAGAGGGGGAATTGCTGACCCAAGTCGGGACAGGTCTAAGACATGCATAGAACTGCATATCTTGATCTCAGATTAAGAAGTATTGATGTGCGTACATAAGAATGTCTTGTCTCCCGTTAGAGATGAGACTGAAGCAAAGTTTTAGCCCTAGCAAGCTGAAGAAGTTGAGGAACTTGGAATTCAACACTGGTCCTTATTTCAAAACATGGTATTTTGATCAAAGATCATTTCAGTGATCCAAAATGTGCAGTTTGTGTTTTTTGTTAGCTTGGTTTTTTTTTTTACCTTGAACTTCCTCCAAAGTAGCATAAGGTAAATTCAAGAAGCCATCTCACATGAACATACTCTTACAGAGAGAGTATTGGTAGAAATACTTACTCGTGTTTGCTCTGACCAGAACAATCTTTCTGTACTAAGCACCTTAAATCGTTGCAATCCTCAGAGTCCCAGTGCCTGCAGAACTGGTGGTGGCTCCCAAACTGTGGAGGAGCAGCAGACATGGTTTGTACCTGCACCAAGGTTTTCCCTGCTACCATCACCACTGGTCTCCCTCTGTGAACTCAGCAGAACCTTGGACTTCTACTTACCTCCCAGTAATGTGCCATTTTCTTACTGGGAGAGTGACTCAGGGATTTAACAGAACTTAACATAACAAATAGTTTGAGTCTGTTTTTCCAAGCTGGGCATGGCATCAGTTGCTAAGAAGGTGATTTAAGCTACATTTTTCTGTGGAAAAGTAAAAGATTTTGATTAAGAGGTGGCAGTATTGTGGCTAATGTAACTTACTGCTAATTAATGTTCGGAGTCCTTTACTGGTGTCATTACCTCGCAGCCTCCTTCAATGCACGAGAGTCTGTTATTCCCATTTTACAGCAGAGGAAACAGATGCAAAGAAAGACCTGCCCAAACACAGGCAGCAATTGCAATCTGGATTAGAGTGAAAATGTCCCTGAAAGCTAGTTCCAGTCTCCAGGGAGGCATCAGTGGGCAGAGCAAGCTGGGAAACTCAAGGGGATGTAGCGTGGGACCAAAAATAAGAGGCGTGTAAGATTTTAAATGCCTAAGGTGATCTGGCCAAGCAAGAAACAAGGCTCAGCAGTTCGTGTCAGCACAGGGGAGGGCAGAAATGTGGGGAGCACATTCCTTAGCTCAGTAGAGGATGAAAGCAGCGTGTGCTGCCAGGCTGTGCAAGAAATGCATTGTGAACCGGCTCTTGCAGCTTCGAGCAAGACAATAAGGATGGTAAAGCACCATGTAAGTCCCCGCATACAGCTTTGACAAAGAGGGAGCTAAACTCAGCCCCCTAGAATCTGTTTGCTCATGGTTTGAATTTAGCTCTTGTTTGAACGGCTCCAAGCAGAAAGGGACCATAGATTGTCCCAGCCCAAGAGCCAAATTCACCTTCTCTCTGCTCATTTTCCGCCCCCGAGCTACGCAGTGCTTCTGTCAGTGTCTCTGGTCATAATTTGCAGGGCATTCTCAGGAAAGCCCCTATTCTCTTCTACAGTCTGAGGAATTATATTTTCTTCTTTCATTTTTTCCTGTGCCGGCCCCTCTCCTCTAGGCACTGCATGACCCACTGAACCTCCCCCACGTTCTTGCCTGTGTACAAAAACTTTTTTCAATGAATATGCATCTTCTTGTACACCAAAGGCAGGATATTCTTGACTCAGCGTCAAGGCTGTGTGGGAGTCACACGAGTCTTTACTCTTCCAGCTAGTAGACTTCAAGAATGGCATTTCAAGGAGTGGGAAGAGGACCTATAACTTGTCACAGAGATCTTTTAGCTGTCCATCAACCAGTCTGTCTCCTCTTTCTCTATTAATCAACTTGGTCTTTTTGGCAAACCAACAAGATTGCTTTCACATGTATCTGCTATACCTATTTATTGAACAAGCACTATCTATCACTCTGGGCAGGGTTAGCAGAGTCCCACTCCTTAGTTTAGCATAACTCCATATCTGTACCTGTGCAGTATTTGCTGTCAACCACTGAGACGTCTGCATCCGTTGTGTCATGATCTCAATGTTTATTAATGCTGCTTCTGGTAGATCCCATCTGTTGAGCAATGAGAGCATGTCCCCCAGCTTGCAATTAATGCAGGTGTTGAGGGACACTACTATTTCAGGTTGACTTTCCTGTTTATTGTAACAGACAAAAGAGCTGGTCATCTTCTTCCACTTCTGTTCTCTCTTGCCCATTCTCGATGATTTTCCGAGTGGTGATCCTCTTGCCATTGGTCACTTCAGTAGTGGTTATCACTGCTCTGACACTGTGTTGCCCAGCTGTGTCCTCAGCAGAGGAGGCAGTGGAGTGCTTTCTGGGGCTGAATGAATCCCATGTTGTAAATGGTTCCATGAAGTCAGAAAACAGCCTGGAGCTTCTTCCTCTTCCACTTGTCCTATGCCCATTTTCACTATTGTTTCTGATGTTGTCAAAGGGGTCCCAGAAAACAGGTACATGGGTATCCATCCCTCCAAAGTCTTCACTGAAGATCTTGTCGAGGTCATGGAATGCGTAAGGGGACTCAAAGGAGCTGTTATTACCCCCTGTGTCACTTCTTCCCCTGGGGATTCTGCTCTCCTTAACAGACCTGTCGTAGAGCAGTCGTTTCTGAGGGTCAGACAAAACCTTGTATGCCTCAGTAACTGCTTTGAATTTGTTCTCAGCTTCCACCTTGTTGTTGGGATTCTTATCAGGATGCCATTTTAGTGCCAGTTTGTGGTAGGATTTTTTAATATCATCCTGTGAAACACTTTTTTTCAGTCCAAGGACTTTGTAGTAATTCACCATTTTAAAGGAAATGTGAGACTGTTTGGAAGATGCCTGCTACCTCTCTTCCACCGAGGATGTGAAGCTCAGGGATGACCAGTGTGCAGAGCCTCCTGGACATCTAATGCTGCTGTGTTCCTCAGGGGATGTTCAGTTCATCCCTTGATCTGCTCTGTCCTTTTGGAGCACAAGGCCACGCAGTGCTGCTTGACCAGATGTCTTCTCTTTAAGAATCATGAGATTGTGACCTCAAACGTGGCTCAGCCAATCACAGCTCAGCTGACCTGACTTCATTCTAGGGTGGAGCTGGTTGTTACTGGCCTTTTGTTTTTAAACGTAGATCATACGTGTGATGTTGTAGTTGCCTGATGTAGCTGTAGTGTCACAGCTACGACATATGACTTTGTTAGATTATTCTTTGCCTCTACTTGCCCAAGGGTGAGATTCTTAGATGCTCAGTGCGGTTTGTGTACAGTCCAGGGAAGTGTGGTGTAGTGAGGCTGTATTATCCCTACGGGAAAAGCTCTTTGCAGTTTGGCTACCCAGAGTTTGGGAAGAGTGTTGATAAATCTGAGAAGGCTAAAGGAAGAGCTATAAAACATGATTAAGAGTTTGGAAAATATACTTTGGAGAGAGATACTCAAGGAAAGTGTTTTGGTATTGAGAGGAAGTTCAGTGCCATCTTCTTCATAATTTGTAAGAAGCTGCATGGGAACACAAACTCAATGGCACAGGGATCTTCAAGCTCCTAGACAAAGCAGCTGGAAGATGCCATTACACATATTTAAACTCAAAATAGGTTGCACATCCTTCATTATGAAGTTCATGAATCATTGGAACCTCCTTATATGGCCATTTTTAAACCCAGAGTAGACCCTTTTCCTAAAACCATCGTTAGGTGTCCATCAGGATCTCTTCTGCATTTACAGCCAAACCTAACACTTCCAGAGGAGCTTAGCTCTCATGTTGGTTCCAAAATAAATGCCTAGAATGAAGCTCATTAACAACCTCAGCCTCTTTCCTACATGCTTTTTTGGCTATCTGTCCCAAGGCATATGTATGCACAACAGGTATGCCCCAAGAACTCAACACAGACAAAGTCAGCCTGAGGAGCTGAACTTGGGTGATCCATTCTGAGCTTATCCTGCAGCTCTTTCTGTTCCCTGGATTTGCCATTCCTGTGGGAAATCCTCACAGGGAATGGTTGCGTAAAGGAGGTCTCCAAAGAAGCGCCAGTAATGAGACCTCATCTGTCTGTAACACAGTGTCATAAACACCTACTAACGGCAGCATGTGTTGCAGATCACTGCCCTCATTTCCATTATCCCACGCTTTGAGAAGGAGTCAAGAGCCAACCAGACCAAAGAGCATATGCACAGCGTATGCGCTGGCTGCTGTCCTAACATGCAGTCAGACGTGCGGGGCCATGAAGCCAAGGGCCATGACAAGCCATGTCAGCCTGTAGAGTGCAGCGTGACAGAGGACGGAAGGAAGGCAACTGAGCTGATGTGTGTTGGGTAAGGGCTTTGTTTTGCTGGTTTTCTCACTGCTTCAGTGATCAGTATAGTGTGGAAGTACTTGCTGGTCTGGAGATGGGAGCTGAAGGAGTGCAAAGCAATGAAGAGCTCATGGTCCCATGGGCTCACCTAGCTGGGGAGATCTTGGCTTTTGCTTCCTTTTGCACAGAGGTCTCCTGAACTACAGAGTGGTTGTGTCACATGGATTATTTTTCTGCTGGGTGTTGTTTGCACTAACAATGGCTGAAGTTAATCTGGGCCCAGCAGCAAGCCACTGCTGCTGCCTGTTTGAACTCAGAGGGCTTTTTGTACTCCCAAAGCATCCCAGACACCAGGAGGAGAGCTAAGACTTCATGGCTCACTCACACTGTAATCCTTCCCTTGAAATCTTCACTAAGGGGACTTGTTTATTTGGGCTAGTGTTTTTTGAGGATTGTCCATGGGACTTGAGGGTGATCCTATCTTACCACGCACAAGCCCCTGAAAGGTGACAATAGCTCCTAGCCACTGTGGCTCATATGCAGATGCTTAGCAGGAATTTCAAGAGCAATTGCTGTTTCTACTCTCTGACACCCCAGAAGTTAAAGTGGGACATTAGAAAAGCCTGTTGGAGGGTCCCAGACCAGTTATGTACTGCAGGGAGTGGGGCTGTGAGTGGAAGAAAGGAGGTGACTCTGCCTTGTGCTGTCTCTTTGCAAAGCATCTCCTCCCATACTTACTTTTGATGATGAGAGCCCATCTCAGACTGGCTGGCGCATTGGATTATCTATCTTGGATTTAGTGCATCCTACCCATCTGAAAAGTAGGGAGTGTTTTTCTCCTGTCATCCCCAAATGGGGGACGCTCGCTGCCTGCCTGTCTCCTGCCTGCAGCAAGCGTCAGAGATTAGCAGCCATTCAAGAGAGGCCACTGCTGTGAGCCAAAACGTTTTGCTTGGAAACAAGAAAGGGTCGATGAGATGCAGGGAGAAAGGGAAATGAGAGAGACAAGCACACATCAGGTAACTAGACCCAAACTAGCCTGGCAGCCCCATCCCTAGAAACCAAGGCTTTGAAATGAGAAATGTTTTTCGTATCTTAAATCTCAAGTATAAACAATAAAAACCAGCCCAGACTGTGTTCTTTGAAGAGAAAGTACGAGTGACCTGAACAGTGGTTATCAGCAGCGTCATTAAGATAAACCCTTAACATGATTTAAAGCATCCGAAACTGAAGGCAGCACTTTCAGATACTAACAAAATGGTCTGACATTGGGGATGAAAATCAATAGTAATCTGATGTCACTAAAAATACTCAAAAGTGTCCCATGGCTGATGGAGGTGAGATTAGTGTAAATATTTGTATTCTAATCAGTGGCACGCGAGGGCTGGAGGCGGCCTTTCTGTCTATTTAATTAATGGAGTGGCTTTTTAAAAGGATCCTAATCATATGTGATTGTATCTGCTTATCAACATTTTTGCTAATTAGATGATATGGAGGCAGTCACTCTGCTAATTCCCTCATCCAAACAGCATATCCTGCACAGATAAAGTACAGTCTCTTTTTAATAAGAAACAATCATGAGACAGTCTAACCTTAATGGTGCTTATTATCAGAGGATCTTTGGGATTTTCTCTTCTAACCATCCCCTCCTTCCTTTTCCTTCATTCACTGCTTCAGTATGCCAGATGGATGTGGATGCAGTGGTTCCTGTGCCCCACACCAGGCACTGCCATGTCCAGCCTGCTCCCAGCCAGGCATCGGGTCAGCGAGGGCAGGAGCTGTCAGCCAGAACAGGATGGGAAACAAAACACAGGGCACCAAGCAGCAAAATGCTCCTTGCTTTTTGTCACTCAGACCACAGGTGACCCCAAACTTGCAGCCCTGATCCATGACCTTGCTCTTGGTCTTGTTGTCTTGATGTCTTGGGTGACACCCCAACACCACCCTGATCCAGAAAGGAGTGAGCATCTCTGAGCTGTGAAAACTTTCTGTTATTGGTAATAATGATCATTATGTTGGTGATGATAATAATAATGTTTTCTTCTGTTTTAAATGTGGTCTAGGAGCAAAGGAGGTCTACATAAGTGGTTTCTCACCAGCCCCGCTGATCATGTGACAAGGCCAAGTCACTTTTATCTAAACCAACATGAGTGGGAGACATTTGTTCCAAGTCCTTTGACTATCCAAACAAACACAAATCACAGTCAAACTGTCATCGGATGCCTCCCCCCAGGGCAGCCCTGTCCGAGGGAGGGCTGCAGTCGCCCCTCAAGCTGTGTTCCTGGGGGGCACATCCAAGAATGGGCACATTGGGCTGACCTCCTGCTGGGGAGGACTAGAGGGACCTGCTCAACTTCAGAAGATTGAAAAATGAATCGAAATTTTTCCCTAGAGAATGTCTCTTCAGCTAACAAAATATAGGGGCAACATATTGATAAGGAGAACCTGTCCTAAACAGTGGAGCTCCCACATTAACAGCATCTGGGTAGACCAGCGAGAGAGGGTAGGTATCTGGTGTTTAGTTTTGGGAGGTCAGGAGCTTCCCTGCTGTTTCTGCAGCTGTGAATGTTGAGCAAAAAATTCTTAAATGATGTGGATTCCTACCTTCATGGGCAGGAGAGAGAAGGTCAGTGTGTTCCATGCATTGATTCTGTGTGTCAGCCTCAGTACAGAGGTCAGCTGTGGGACAGGAGCTGGAGTGTCTCTGGGGAATGCTGGTTGGAGACAGAGCCAAAGGAGGATCCAGAGAGCTGGGTCTGTATCTGGATTTTCTGAGCTTCAGACTGGGGCTTGAGGCTAAACAAAGGTTCAGGCAAGAAGACACCCAGATTCTAGCTGGTAGAAAGAGACAGGAACCTCACAAAACCACCCCTTTTTTTGAGGTATGAAGCCAAATAGGAGACCTGGTTCTGCTTAGTGGAGTCAAAGGGGCACCTGATGTGCTTTTTTATGTTAGATTATGCCCCATGCCCAGGGCAAGGCCTCGCTCCAGTCTCGGAAAGCCCAAACAGTGTTTTAACTTGTGACCACAGATTCTAACCCCAGCAGAATTCAGAGCACTTCAGTTTCATTGCCCAAGTCATCTCCATGTGTCATCTGCACTATCCTCATCCAGGCACAGTTACACTGAGGTTGTACTCAGCAACACAGCTGGCCAGCCCTTCCACTGTTGTTCCTCTTTGGCATGGTCCCTGACCCTCCTTCCACGCCACGCTACGCCCAGGAATTAATTCAACATTAACCCCTCTCTCAGAGCAGTTTCCCGTTGCCCGCTCCATGACTGAAGGCTCCAGAAAAGAGGAGGAACTTCTGGGCCAAGAGTTGCGTTGCAGGCCGTTGAGTCCTGGGGCTTAATGAGGCACTGCTTATCAGCAGAGCCTGCTTATCTGGAGCCCGCTGACAGTGTACCTGCCCCAGCCCCATCGTGAGCTAACACGTTTTACCACCCAGCTGCAGGGAGCCGGCGGCGCGGTCAGGCGGCACGGCTCAGCTGATGCCTGGTAACTTGCGAAGCCACAGCAAC